AGGCGGCACGGGAAGAGCCGGGGGTGCTGGGGAACGGGCTGGCTGGAAGCTGAACGTCCGAGAAAATGAAATGTTCTTACCCTTTCCAGCCTTAACGTTGGGAATATCTGCTGCTTTAGTCTGGAGACTCGACAGAGGCCCTGGGGATTGACAAAAAGGGGACAGGGTCAAAGCACGCAAGGAAGAAGTGATGACAAAATACACAGATCCTGCTGTGAGGAGAATCGGGAAATTGGGTTTTTATTTTTTTCTTTAGGACTCTTAGGAGCACCTTAATCTAGATTAATTAAAAAGATTGAATATACCAGTGGGTATGCCAGTCTTCCAAGTCATGGTTAAACAGTGGCGCACCTGTGAAACAGTATTTGGAAGGAGCCCAGAATACCTGTGCTGGCCTGTCCTTCAGGAGGCTGGAGCTTTGTTAAAAATAATATTACAAACATTATCTAAAAAGTTTTATAAATAACATTATATCAACGCTAGACCCGCCCCAGGATGTCAAATGCATTTTTATTGCTGTCTTAAAATGTAGTTGACCTTGTGTTAACAAAACTTTGCAAAGGTCTTTTCTAGATCAAAGGTAAGGTCACTGGGAAAGCTCTTCATGAGTAACTCGCTTTGATCGATGCTGAAGTGTCAGTAACAGGCACAACTCTTGAAGTGCATCGAGCGGTAAGGGCGTTTCTGAAAGTGAAACCACCACATTGCCACCCCTGTAAAAATAAAAACTGAGGCAGAGGGATGGAGTTACTGGTATTCTGGGACTTTTTGGTAGAGATTGTTCTTTTTCCCTCTTCCTTGGTGGAGTTACTGAGGGAGTTCATACAAAAGGCCAACTGGTGCCATTTGTGAGCTTTGTTAATCCAAATCTACGCATATAAATTGCAGACCCTGAGGAAAAAGACATCTGTAGGAAAGGCTCAGATCTGTGGGGCTTGTAAGAGATCAGTGCCTTGAGGTCTGGGTTGTGTCTTGTTTTCTCACAGTTTGGCTTAACTCCTTTCGTGCCACAGAAATCCATACAGACACAAGGGAACAGATGAAAACCTGTGCCTTACCTCCTGTGATTTAGGAGGGGGATAAAGCTTCCTAGTTAGGGGCTGGCAGGTGTGTCACCCCACCAAAAAGAATAAGATGAAACTTACAAGGAAAAGGGGGTGATCCATACAGCAGAGTGATCCAGGTATGGAACAATAAAGGAGTACGAGAGTAAACCAAATGCTTAACTGTACAGAAATATCAAACCTACATTCCCCTAATAAAGCAAAAAATACCTACCAATCAGATAAAGAAAAAAAAAACGTTTCTACGTTTCTGCCACTGCAGTGCTGGGGACAAGCTGGCTTTTAATGCTGAGGTACGCAAAAAACATTCCTCTATGGGTTGACATCTTTGGTGTGTTACTCACAACGGGGTGTTTTCACTGCAGTTGACTGCATCCAGCTGAAAGTGCCGGTCATTCAGCAGCTGTACCACTGGGACTGCGGGCTAGCCTGCTCCAGGATGGTGCTTCAGTAAGTGACTCTTCTGGTTTCAATGGGTGGGAAAGGGGTAGCGGGAAGCAACATCCAGGGAGAAGAGGTGTGTTGAAGCAGCTGTAAGTTTAACTTAGTCTTATATGAGAGTTCACATTCTCAGGTAGCCTTGGAGAATAACTGCTGCTTGGGCCTGGCACAGCTCTCCAGCAGAAGCAAGGGAAAATATAAACTAAGATGAACTTAAAGCCTTTTGAGACTGTTTTGAAAGATGCAAAATATCTGATCAGTTCTAAGAACCCTGCAGGCTGGCATGCCTAAGGTGATGAAGTTATCCCTCTTTCCTGTTGTTATAATGCAGAACTGGTACTTAGCACAGCAACTCACCTGATTCCGTTCTCAAGCGATGGGTAGGTGTATCCCAGTTTATGAGTATATACTACCTCTGTCCTGCTGAGCCCCAGTCAGCGCTGTTTTTTGTTCCAGGAGTAGACAATGCACTGTATTGCCCTTTGGGGTTTTTTTGGTTTTGTTTTGGTTTTTCTTCTTTTGAACTAGTAGCTGTCCTGCTGAACTCCTCTTTCCTTCCACAGAGGAACATGAGCTTAGGTGCAGGAGAAATACCTATTTAGATGTCCACTTAGTAGATATGAAGCAGAAGATTTTCATTTCTCTCCATCCCTTCTGCCAAGACGTTAGTCCGTGTGCTGGTAATTTCCCATCTTGACTACTGTAACCTCTGCCTCTTTATTCCCTTTACCTCTTTGCCACTCCAGTCTGTCCAAAACTCAGCGTGCAAGATTAATCTTCACCCCCTGCTGATCTGACTTTGTTTGCCCTGCATCCTCAATTCCAGTCTTTTTTTTTTTTCCATTTACTTCCATTTGTTTTCTGACTTCCAGAACTCTGTAACTGCCTCTTCCCACCCCTTTGCAACCAGTCCCAAGCTTCCCTCTGACTTCATCTCCCCATTATTGCCTTCTGTGCCATCAGTGCCTAAGACAAGCTTCCTTTGAATATTTACCGATTTCCTTTACCCTCCCTCCTTTTGAAATCCACCTATTGTGTGAAGCAAGTTTTAGTCTTTAACACTCCTTTCTGTGTTTAATATGCCGGTACATTTAGACTGTAAGCCCTTCAGGACAGAGTTCTATACTTGCTCAGTATAGCTTGCCTGTTGTGCAGCACCTGTACACTTCTAGCACTATGAAACAGTCAAGATACCCATACATTCCAATTTTAAAAAGTCAGCAATAAATCCAGTTAAACATTCCCTATTCCCTTCCCTTAAATTTGTGTCTCCTTTGTGGGTTGGTTTGTTTTTGTTTTTTTTTTTGGTTATTTCTTAGCCAAGCCCATTGTTTCAGTTTTTACGTCCTGTGATGTGGAGGCTTGGGCTACAGCAGACATTTTGCTTCTCCTAACATCTGTGCTTCCCTTCCCCTGCCTTTCCTAATACCATAGGTACCTGAATCATTTGGACAATGATGAATTTCAGAAGGCCATCCAGGAACTCCAGTTAACAAAAAGTATCTGGACTATTGACCTGGCCTACCTAATGCGGCACTTTGGTGTTAAGCACAAGTTTTGCACCCAGACGCTTGGAGTGGACAAGGGCTACAAAAATCAGGTTAGTACTATCTACTGGGAGACAGCAGACAGTTTGAAAAGCCCTGTGTGTCATGCTATAAAAGCTCTGCTGAGTTACTGACAATTAACCACACTTCTGTAAAAAAGGTTTGCCTGTTGCCAAAACTGGCAAGAATCAGTTCCAAAAGCGAGGCTAGATGTGATCCCACATATTTCACATCTTTAATTCCATTATATGAATTTTTTTAGAAAGTATTCATGTAGTGTTCATGAAAGGTTTCAGCCTGTTTGACAGCCTTGGAGACTGAAGCCCTCTATTTATCTACAGCACGGGTACAGCCTGGCCAGCAGCAGTGCTAGCTTCCACACTTTCCCCACCACCGTGCCTCAGCCCTGACCTGGAAGAACCACCTCTAGAGGTGAGAGGGGAACTCGGCCTCCATGTCCATGTGAGAGCTTGGCCTCTTTAAGATTGCCAGCAAAGGGGCCAGCAAGTGGCGATGGCTTTTCTAATGCAAGCTCCTGCCCAGTACAAACCAGATAGGCTTCTTTCGTATAGGCAGCTGAATAGCCACCAGATGGAAACTACAACGATAACGGCCCAGGAGTGAATTTAAACTTACTGTTTAGAGCAAGAATCCTTATCCTGTTACCAGTGAACTACGGGAGAGATCTCTTATCCCATAGCCAGATCTGCACTTTACGTAGGCCCTTGCTAGCAGGGATTGTACGTGGTGGATTACCTCAAGTAAGCATTATTCCAGTTCATAATTTCTATTATCTCCACAGTCATTTTACAGGAAGCACTTTGACACAGAAGAGAATCGAGTGAATCAGCTCTTTGCACAAGCCAAAGCCTGCAAGGTGCTGGTGGAGAAGTGGTAAGCTTATTGTTTTCTATTCTCTTTGTTGATTCTGTGGGCCCCATGCTCTTCTTGGAGTCACCAAGCTAAACTGGTGAAAGAGAATTATATCAAGAGCCCTGAGCCTTTTTTTGTGAATTAGAGTCATTTTACTATATCAGTCTCAAAAAAAAAGAAAAGAGTGGACATCAAGAATGAATAATTAAGTTTGAGGAAAAATAGTCAGGACGCAGAATAAGTGATTTGAAAATGCTCACAGCAGTTGACTATTTTTTTATGTTTTGAATTTGGTTATCCATTAAAATTTCCCAGTAGGGCGTGCCTATAGTACTCTAATGGGCCATTAAGGAGAGTGCGCTACATGGGCACACAACCCATTGTTCCCAGAGCTATGCAAACGTTATTGCTCTCTGTTCCTAGACACATGCACAAAGAAAAAGCTAGCACAGGAGCTTTTGCCAAGGGGAGGATGAAATAAGGAACATCTACGAAGGAACTCCAAACCCAGGAGAAGGGCAAAAACTGCAGAATTGTTTCAAATCAACAGTGATATCCTACATGGGAAATAACTAAACATCCACGTTCAACTTGAGTTGTATCCCTTTTTATAGTGAAACTAGATTTGGATCTTTCGTCAAAGTGGGGTAAATGATTAGGAGTAAGAAAAGAAGAGAGGGTACAGGGCAGCCACAACAGTATTTGAATGCTGCATTGCAACTTTAATTTAGCAGAAGCGTTAGGTGTCCTTTTTAACATCCACGGAGTCTCTATGGCACCATCTGTTTAGGGCTGTGACAGGACAGAAGGGACATCAGTCCATCTTGCTTTAGCAATCTTAGGATCATGGCCTTGATCAAGGCAGGGACAGGGGGCATATCTACCTGTGCAATACTGAGGCCGGGGCACCGAAGAGGAGAAGCAGCACTGGAAAAGGCTAAAAAGCGTGAGTTCAGTCAGGCAGTGCACACAGCCCTGACATCTGGAATGTATCCAAGGGAGTTTCTAATGCATATGGAATATACCATCTGCCTCAGTGAAGGGTGGCTGCTAACAGGTGAGATTATAAATTGTTTGGTTAATACTCGCTCTCTGTAGGAGGTTCTATAGAAATAAAGCCTCAAAAGAATCAGGTCGTCCAAAATTGCAACTGGGAGAAACATATTCCTGTGTGACAGAGGCAAATTTGGTTACGTCTTAAGTTGGTTAGTGATTATACAATCTTTAATCACTCAGTCGATAAAGATTTAGTGCTTCAGAGATAAGCTTTTCTAAGAGCAGAAGAGAACACTTCACTTACAGTTTTCCCACAACAAAAATGTCTCAAGTTGCTGAATGAGTTGCCAACTCCTTTAATACTCTTCTCAGGGGCATCTGATCCATCCTGAGATTACATTTATATTACTGCAGAATCCAGAGCTGTTGCTCTGCACTTCAGTAGCAGCATTGAGATCAAAAGGCCTTGAAGGACACAGGTTTTGTCAGGCTTTGTCTGTAGCAAAGCCTGCACGGCTTAACAGCAAAAAGGGTGTACCTGTGATACTAAAATAACCATGCCAGCTGCATGTCCTAAGTACTGTCCATCATCACACACTTCATTGTGTACCAGTCTCTTTCCTAAACTTGTTAATAAGCATGTCTGATTTTTTTTCTGCAGCACAGTAACTGTTCAAGACATCCAAAACCACCTGTCCCAAGGTCATGTAGCCATTGTCCTAGTGAATGCAGTCCTGTTATTGTGTGATCTTTGCTCAAGTCCTGTCAAATACTGCTGCTTCCTCCCCATTGGACAGAAGTGCTTCTGCAGGAACCCTGACTACCAGGGCCATTTCATTGTGTTATGTGGCTACAACAAAGCCTCAGGGAGTATTTACTACAACAACCCGGCCTATGCTGACCGTGAGTAGCCTGTTCCTTTTGGGTGGATTCTCAGCCACCGCATTACTAACATGTCTGTAATACAGAGGCACAGCTGGACGCCCCTAACAGCATGCGTGTATTTCAAGCATCACTAACCAATTTGTCAGAAGGGGTTTTGCCACACTAATTAAATTAGTGCTGCACTTGTGCTGCGATATACTTGAAGGATTGAGATACGCCTTCTAGCAAACTTGTTTGGCTTTCAGATGGGTTAGAGAGATGCTGAACTGTTCCCATACGCAGAATACAACAGGACGGCCAATTTAGTACCTATTTACATCATTGCTTCAGTGAGCACTGCCTGAAAAGATCTACCCGAGGAAAGCTGTAACCTAAGCTGATAGGTCGAGTCTGTGTACTAGTTACTTGTCTTTCTAGAGGCTGATAGACCCAGAATAAGAGCCTTTCACAGGCAAATTCTGCTGAGTTTTTACTAACATTTTGTTCCTCCTTAACAGGAACATGCTGCACCAGCATCAGTAACTTTGAGGAAGCCAGGACAAGTTACGGCACTGATGAAGATATTCTGTTCATCTACACAGACAGCTGACATCCACAGCTGATACTTCTGGTCCTTTCCTGCGCAGCCTGCATGGCAGCTGTCTGCTTGTCTCAGGACTCCCCTGCAGAGACCTTGCTCCTAAATTGCAGTGGGATCTTACACAAGGGAGGCTTTATAAATAGGACTATACTGCAATGCTGTCTTTACCTTTTTTTCCTGATGACATATCTGATTTTGCAATGTATGTCTCACTTTTTTCCCCCCCTCTTATTTTCAACACTGCACCTTTGACAGCAGTTTTAAAATACAGGCCCAGAGCCTGTTCACTTTGAGCTTATTTTAAACTTAAACACATGAGAAAAAAAGCATCAAATTTATGAACTTTAACACTTGGTGATACATGCGTAGGTTTAGGTAAACAAAACCAGGGGAAGAAAAATACAAAATACCTGTTTCTGTCAAAGCATCAGGGGTTTGTTCTTCATCCTAAATCTAGGGATTTGAGGTTCAG